AGTCCCCCCGGGAGCGCCACTGCACCCACCTCCCCAACCCACTACCCAAAAAGGGGGAGGTGGGAGACTGGACGAAAATTGTCCAGTACGGTGGGATCCAGGGATGGTTTCTTGAGGAGAGGATGTACCAGCGCCTCTTTAAAGACAACTGGAAATAACCCCTCCCTCAAGGATGAATTCACCATCGCCTGGACCCACTCACATGTCACCTCCCGAGTGGCCTTGACCAGCCAGGAGGGGCATGGGTCTAGTTGACAAGTGGCTTAATAGCGGCTCTAGCCTATGTTCAGTCGGGTCCAGTCCTTGTTTTTCTCCAGCGGCGCTCTAGATGTCTCTTAATCCTTTTCAAGACCCTCAACTCCTCCGTAAACCACGGGGAGTGTCAAGCTTGATGGGTCAAGAGGTGTCACATGGGTGCGGTCTTGTCCAAGGCCTTGGCTGCCTTCCTATTCCAGGTGGTGGCCAAGGCCTCTGCTGGACCATGCAGCAGATCCTCAGGTATAACCCCCAGCTCCCTTTGGAACCCAACTGGGTCCATCAGTCACTGGGGGGGGGGCGGACCAGTTGAATAGTCCCTGGATCCCAGAATGGGTACACTTTTTAAAAAAAAAGATATTTTTGGTATTTTTGCCTTAAGTCTTGCAGTTTTTTAAGGCCACACTTAAAACTCCATTTACCCATTAAAACTCCTGAAATCCCACCCCAAAATAGACTCTGAACACTTCTGAAGTGCAGCTTTCAATCGTCTGCATAAAGCATGCTGTAGCCCTTGAGCCAAGAAAAGTTGTGTACCCAGTTTTATGTTGCTAACCTATGCATGAATTCATATAGAATTTGTTGGGATTTACTCCAAAGTAAATATATACTGGACTGCAGCCTTAGTCTTATTTTTAGGCTGGAATTTCACACCTACGTATTTATTTATTTATTTCAAATTTGTCCGCCCATTTCACTGCAGAGTGACTCTAGGCGGTTTACAGTAAAAAGAATAAATATGAATTAAAACAGAATAAATATAAAATAGATGACATTATTAAATGTAATTAATTAATTAAAATACATTACATTATATTATAGATTCTTCTTTATCTGGGAATAATCCCATTGAAATTAACAGGTCTGAAGCACTTGTGGAACAAGCTGCATACATACTGCATTTTGAAACATACCAGCTTTAATTGGCGGAAAAAGGCCTACCCAGCTCCCTTCCTGATTTAAATCATAAAACCTCAACAGACCTAATCTCTGAAGGAAAACATCTAAAAAGGGTTTCTGATTGTATGAATATTCAGGCACCACTGAAACCACCTCCCATAAAATTTGGAAACAAGTTTAGCCATTTCTTAAGGATCAATAGAGGGAAACAGATTACCGAGCAATCCTCCATAACCACAGCCAATATCAGCAAACTCCACTTGACGTCCAGGTTCGGCTCTTTCTTCCACATCCTTTGGATCATCGTGCCAACTATCATTGGCTAAAGGAGCAAAAAACTCTGGGTACAGTACAGACCAGTCCATTTCTTCAGGCTTGGCAGGACTAATGGAAAAGAAACCGGAGGGTTTATGAAACAAACACTGCAGAAGAGAAACTATTAGGGCTATGCACGCTTCAAAAACAATGCAGAAGACATATTTCAGACTGGACATAAATGCAGCACTTGTCCACTATTTGATAAAGCTGTCTGAGCCTGAAAAAAGAAGCTGCCGCTTTAAAGTTGTATTAACTTGAACAAATGGATTCTTTAACGTGTCTTTTTTGTTTTCCCAGGCTTGTGCAAAGCCTGAAAAAAGTCAGGCTGCATTCGTGAGTAGCAGAATTCATCTTGTATGAGAGTTGAAGGCCTTCTTTTGAGTCATTTTCAAAGAGTACCCAATCCTAGAAACTACATAGAGGTCGGTTTCTTCTTACTGTCTGAGAATTCTGGAAGCTAGAATCCTAACTTATTTAAAAGGTGCAAAATTTAGGAAAATTATTTTTTGAGCCTATAGAAAAATATTTCTGGAATATAATTTAATGTGCAATCCTTTGGTACTCTCTGAGCTTGGTTGTTTGCTTGCAGACATTTCATTACCCAACTAGGTAACATCATCAGTGCTAGTGTGGGGTTTGCTTCCTGTTTATATACAGTAGCTTGCCCTGCCACTGTTGATGGGTGTGTGGTTTTCTCGTTGGTAGTTCCTTGACTAGGGTATTGTTTTCTGCTTGATTGGTTGTCTGGGGTTAATCCCTGCTTATCTGGAGGTTGGCTGCTGGAAAGGATGTGTTCTAGTCTTTTTGTTTCCTCCTTAGCTTTTTTATTGTCTTTTGAATGGTGGGTAAATGTGCTTTATCTCTATGTGTCTATTGATGACTGATTTGTCTGAATTCCAAAGTTCCAGGAATTCCCTAGCATTTTTTGGGTTTAGCTTGGTCTAGGATGCTCAGTTTCCCAGTTTCAACTATGGTTGAGTCTGTCCATGTGTTGTGAGATTAAGGAGTTTTCATCATGTCTACTGACTGCTAGTTGGTGTTCATGGATGCACTCAGCTAGTCTTCTGCCTGTCTGTCCTACATAGTGGCTGTTAAAGTCCTTATACTGTATGTTGTAGATGACTCCTGTCTTTTGTTCTTGGGCTACTGGGTCTTTTGGTTTACTTAAGATGTTTTGGAAGGCTTTAGTCGCTTTGTGTGCAATGGTGATGCCCTGTGGTTCTAACAGTCATCTCAGAAACATCTCAGAAACAACCAACAGATAACCCTGAGCTACATATATTCTCTTCCATTCGAATATAATTTAATTCATCCTGGTTCCCAAGGGGTACTTAACTGACAAACCAAGCAATGGCTCAGAATTTCAAAACACAGAAATATTCCAGTGGCTTCTATTTCTACTGACATTCCAACAACATGTGTTATAGTCAAATGAAGTGCTAATCTGGAAGCAAAAGTTCCCCAAATATGATAATTTAGGGGCTTTCGTGTTAAGACTAACCACAATAAATTCCAATGATGTCAATGGATTCTTAGCATTGCAATCAACCCAGTAATTCAATAAATTCTTACTTGGGAAGTATTTATTTATTTATTTATTTATTAAATTTGTATGCCGCCCATCTCCCCCATTATAATTAGCTGAGCTGGCTTCTACATGTAGATGTGGCTAGATAGTAGTTTATCTACCTGATTTTCTATAGTTTTTATATACTAACATTTATTTCACATAATTATATACTGCACTATATTATACTGTTAGTTTCTGTAATCTTAATATTTTAGTGATATTGTGATTTACTGTTAATAATTCAATGCATTATTTTCCATAGCTTATAGGCTAGACTGTGCATATTGGGATGGTTGTAAACTGTCATCATTTAATGTTATTTTATGCTGGTCGATGACCAAAATAAAAATTGACTGCTCCTTAATTTATCTTACTTCCATAACTCCATTTCTATTCCATGGGATTACTTCTAAGCAACTATACGGAGGGCTGTAATGTTAACAATACTTTGAAATCAAGCCTCAAGACCTTATTTCTAAGCAAAATTCAACTCAAGCAATAATGGCTGAATCAAATAAAATTAACTCCTAAGACTGAATAAACACATACTGTCATTCTCCTACAGTCAGGTCCAGAAATATTGGGACATCGACACAATTCTAACATCTTTGGCTCTATACACCACCACAATGGATTTGGAATGAAACAAACACAATGTGCTTTAACTGCAGACTGTCAGCTTTAATTTGAGGGTAGTTCACCTGAGTTGGATGTACATACCCTCAAATTAAAGCTGACAGTCTGCAGTTAAGGCACATTGTGTTTGTTTCATTCCAAATCCATTGTGGTGGTGTATATACCCTCAAATTAAAGCTGACAGTCTGCAGTTAAGGCACATTGTGTTTGTTTCATTCCAAATCCATTGTGGTGGTGTATATACCCTCAAATTAAAGCTGACAGTCTGCAGTTAAGGCACATTGTGTTTGTTTCATTCCAAATCCATTGTGGTGGTGTATATACCCTCAAATTAAAGCTGACAGTCTGCAGTTAAGGCACATTGTGTTTGTTTCATTCCAAATCCATTGTGGTGGTGTATATACCCTCAAATTAAAGCTGACAGTCTGCAGTTAAGGCACATTGTGTTTGTTTCATTCCAAATCCATTGTGGTGGTGTATATACCCTCAAATTAAAGCTGACAGTCTGCAGTTAAGGCACATTGTGTTTGTTTCATTCCAAATCCATTGTGGTGGTGTATATACCCTCAAATTAAAGCTGACAGTCTGCAGTTAAGGCACATTGTGTTTGTTTCATTCCAAATCCATTGTGGTGGTGTATATACCCTCAAATTAAAGCTGACAGTCTGCAGTTAAGGCACATTGTGTTTGTTTCATTCCAAATCCATTGTGGTGGTGTATATACCCTCAAATTAAAGCTGACAGTCTGCAGTTAAGGCACATTGTGTTTGTTTCATTCCAAATCCATTGTGGTGGTGTATAGAGCCAAAGATGTTAGAATTGTGTCGATGTCCCAATATTTCTGGACCTGACTGTATAATCCACCATGAAAAGAGCGATGCCAGTTTTCTCTGACCTGGGCACTCTCCAGATATGTTGGCATTGCAACTCCCAGAATTCTTAGTAACGGCCATGCAGGTTTAGGATTTGAGCTGGTTTGCAAATCTGAAAGATTGTGGGAGAAACTGGGCTATGCAAAGACACTCTGCCACCACTGAACATGGGCCTGGTGCCAGCTGCAGTTCCAACCAGCCTTCAGACAACCTTCCTTCTTCTGTAAATTAGATCAGACTAAGAACTAGTCTAAGCAAGTTTACAGAACAATATTATAAAATATATATCCAGTGTAAATCACGGTAAAACTCCAGATTATCACAAGTGGCAGCAAAAATGGGAGGTTTAGCTCTCTCCTTGTTGCCATCTGGAGTTCTGTATCCCAGATCTGGCAGCACGAGATAAATGACTATAGTGTGAGGATGGGAAAGATGATATCTTACTGCTTTTTAGTGCTACCATCCTTTAAAACTAATAACATGGGGTGAAAGAAGACAACTTCGTGCTCTTTTTTCCTTGGGTGAAGAGACAAGAGCTGTACGAAGCCTGACTCTGGACAGATTTTTTTCCCCCCAGAAGTACTGCCGAATCTAACGAGACTGACATCCAGGATATCTTGTCAATCGCAAGAATCGGCCACCTCGTGCCCGCTACACGTTCTGAAGCACAGCTCGGTACGCGCAGTAGCGAAGGGCGGCGGCGGGAGCGAGAGCAACGCCGAGCGTACCGCCGAACGAGAAACCAGGCGCTCGTGAGCAAACGCCTTCCCACCAACTAAAAGCGACGCTCTTCCTTTTCGGGGGCGTTTGCGAACTCGCAGGAGAACTACGTGAAGCCCACGACGTGGGAAGGAGACAAGAAGCTGCGGAACCCGTCAGGGGCAAGGCCTGTCTGCACTCACTAGAGTAAGGTGTGATCCGCCAGCGGGTTAGAGTGCGCACGCTGCCGGTAGAAACGCTTCTGCGGCACGGCCGCTGCCTCCTCCATGGCCGGCCAGAGCCGAGCCCCGCAAGCGCCGAAACACGTGGACTCCCCTGCACGTAGGAGTCGCGGAGAACTGACATCACGGCGGGGCGCAAGCGCGGGAGGAAAATCGCCACGCCTTTGTTTTAAAGGGCCAGGACATGCATATCGCGCTCGGTGGGTAGTTCGGCTGTCGAGGGACGAGGAGCTTCTCGCAAAATTTGTAAAGGCATGCCCGAATAAGAGACG